GGCCCTATCCACCATACTAGAACCGTGGACCTAGACCCCTTGGGCGGTGTGCAGGCAGTGTCTGTGTGAAACTTACCATGTGTCTTCCCAAGGGGGGGGTCTGAATGGCTTGTGCGTTATGAAAGCGCTTACCGGTGTCCATGCACAAGGCTGCAAATGAGTTTTGAACCCGCAACCTCATACCACAATGCGCATTTCCAACCGGTGCTCTAACCACTGAGCCAATGGCCATTCACAGGGCAGGTACTTTCGTACGGCTCGTTTCACTTTTTGCCTGAGTCTTCGTCATTTTCAAACTCTTTCATATGCTGCATCTTTGTACTGAATGGTCTGAAGAATGGGTTCTCGCTGTTGTAATCGTTTGTCTTCCTTGTTTTCTGTTGTACTTTCACAGTGGCAAGAAATCTGTGGAAGAGTGTGGAAGCTATGCAGACTTGCAGAAGATGATAGAATTCCTGAAGAAAAATAGCCACCGTGATTTATCAGTGAAGGAGGTTGTGCAACACATGGGGTAAGCAGTGATGAGCATTCGTTTGGATGCAACACCAGCAAATGTGTTCAGAAAGAGCCTGGTCAGCATCTCCCCTTCTTCAACCTTTCATTTTCTTCCAATGGAAATTTTGTATTGTCACCTTTGTTACCAGTGTGGCCTGGGACCACTTGCCCGGCGGGGCCAAAAATGAATTAAAAAATAAAAGTTTATAAAACTAAATATAATATTTTTAAATTATGTTTTTTATTTTATTTTCCGGGAAAGAATTTTGATCTGACCTTGGGGCAAAAGTTGTTCAGCTTATTTTTCTGCACAACATCTCTTTTTTTCGGTTTTTTATTTTACTCTTTATTTTTACAGGGACCTTGCCCGGCTGGGCCACCCGGGCAACGAAGGTGATCCCAGGCGGCGGCCAGGTTGGTAACAGAGGTTGTTTCACGGGTATGAGTTAGATCCACTTCTCTTTGATTATTTTCTTCCATGAAGGGTAACAAATTACTAACAATGGTAAACAGCATAAGCAACAAACAAAAACAAAATCAAACTATGTTCATTTCAGAAAAGTTTATTCAAAGATTACTAAGTACAAAGGCATATTAATTCAAAGATTACTAAGTACAAAGCTAGGCTGGGCCGTCGCCCGGCCAGGCATGCCCGGGCCAGCTGGGCCGGGGGGGATCGCCCGGCAAAACCAGGCGGGTCATAAAAGAGGGAAGGATCTCCAAAAAAAAGAAACTGACTTCAGGCCAGGACTGCGCCCGGCCTGAGCATTCAGAATCTGTTCTTACCTTCCATTTCGGGGTTGGGTCACCCAGGAGTGTTTGGGGGGTATAAAGTTACTCTAAACACTGACTAGAGGGGTTTAAAAGGGCAAATCTTACCTCATTTCTCCTCATTTATTTTTATCTTAAACTTAATAAGGAATTTCGAGGGGACCCTTAGCCAAAAGTTGCTTGTACTGCAATTTTATACAACATATTTTTTTCCAGATTTTTTTTATTTTTTTAAATATTATGCGCTGGGGCTGCCTGGGACCCTGCCCGGCCACTGCCCGGCCCGGGCCGCCCAGGAGGGTACCCAGGCGACCTTCCCCCACCCGGGCCACCTGGGGACCAGCCTAGGTACAAAGGCATATTTTGGTAATCGTACACCTACTTCAGACTTTCAGCCATATCTGTATGGATTTCGAAATGAAATTGCTATTATTGATTTAGAAAGAACACTTCTTTTTTTATGAAGAGCTTGTAATTTCATTGAGCGCCGAGACCAAACAAAATTAATGTTGCAAACACCTCTCCAGGCACGCAGCAAGACATGCTGGAGACGAAGTGCAATTGTTTGCCATTGATCTTCAGGGTCAGTAGCGGAACGTTCTGTAAGTTAACAGATCAGCAGTGGTGAAAGGATTATTGATCAGCAATGGAATTGTCATCAAAACACTCAGTAAACCCAACCATCCCACATTACGCACTAATGGTGGATAATCATATCTTTTTGAAGTGCTCAAAATCACCCCATAGATAAGTAATAAGATAGTGGCATTTTTAAGCTGGCGTCAAGACAGTTGTTCATTGACTGAAGTCAACGAATCTAAGTTAATTGATTCAAACAACCACATAAAGCATGAGTTGGGTACAAGATATAAACAAAAGATTGCTGCGATATAGAGACTTTTAAACTTTTTATATCCATGTGATTAACGAAAGTATACTGATATTGACCATATAATAAGACTAGATTCTTTTGAGATTCTAAATAGGATATATTTTGAAGCGGTTTTGGCCACCACTTCGTGCCCAGCACTTCGGTGGAGATGTCCGAATTGCTGCACTTTGTGCCTGGAGGCTCGCAAGAGTCAGTCAAGTACAAAATACAGGTAGGTCCTGCGCTATCATGAAGGGTAGAAGAGAAAGCACTTGGCTGAAACAAAGTTTGACCATGAGTGACATATAAAAGATTCTTCAATTGTCGCCACTGGTGGTATGGATGTAACTGCCAGCCAAGTATCCAAGTATCCAAGGGGGAACACGCACACAACCTGAAACCACCAGTTCAGTTCACGAACCAATTCCCTGGGCCTCCCCAGCTTGAAACGTCACTCCTACCCAGTTCACAACGGACTTAATTTTTTTCATGGGACAAACCATTTGTGTTTTTTATCTTTTTCCCTAGGCTACCAGCCGGGTCGCCCGGGTCCTGGGTGGCCAGCCCGTGCAAGGACCAATGAAGGTCCCAGCAAAAAAAAAAAAAAAAAAAATCCAAAAAAAAAAAAACTATGTTATGCAGAAAAGTAAACTGAACAACTTTTGCCTCAGGGTCACATTGAAATTCTTTACCAAATTTAAAATAAAAAATAAAACTAAAAAATAATGTTTTTATTTTATTATTTTTTTATTTGTTTTGGCCCGGCCGGGCAAGTGAACCCGGGCCAGTTTGGTAGCCTAGCTTTTTCCCTGATGCAGAGTCACCGAAGGAACATATCTGATTTTTTTATGGAAGTCGCTGGAAATTAGAATTTAAAATCGCGTCCCTCTGGACATTTGGTAAAACTTAAAATTGGAACGATACAGATATCCCTACCCAACCCTAGAGCTAAGCCATGCATGCGTAGACCCCGTCATATACCCCCAGCCCAGTATCGTAGTTGTGTGTATATGTGTGTGGCCAGAGGCTATGTATGTTTGTATGAGCCCATAGGGCCATGTTTTTGTGTCTGCCTGAGGACTATGCGTGCTCTGTGTATCTGTATAGCGCCCGAAGGCCAGATATGTGCAATACTATGTATCGGGAACAATGTGTTCGTTTGAAGAGATGACAGGCCAAGCTGGACAAGAACCCCCCACAAAGTCCCAAGCCAGACTCGGACCCGTGATCTATGACATGTGACCTGAAGACTCTACCATTTGAGCGACAATCGCAAGTCTGGCCCATGTCTTAATTTCAGTGTGAGCGATCATCTGAAAAACTAGCTAAGGATCATTGGCTGTACACCCTTCACTATGGGTAGCTGTCATCAATAGGTCTTTGAAACATGGATTACCACTTCTGAATGAGTTAGACGTTAACTACAAGAAAGGAATTCACAGCCATTTCTAAGGTCATACGGATCGTGGGGGACCCGACCACAGCAGACCTAGGGCCCGAACACCTTGTTGGGTCGGCAAGGCTGTACCTTGGCCGCTGGGTACTATTTTGGACCTAGGGGCCTTTTTTTTTCAATTTTTTTTTTCAGAAAAGCAACCCAAGGTAATGTTAGGGGTGCTGGTAAGAGGAGCAGGCACCACTAGGACTCTCGGGGTCGCTCCATCTATTGGTGGGGGAGCAGCACCTGCCGGAAACCGGGCCCGGCGTCCCTTTGTACATACAAAACAAGTTGCATGGTTGCCATTGTTGTCCGCAGTACTGCATGTCTGATGCGACTGTGTATTCAGATCCCATGGGCAGAGAGCAAGCCCCCTCCCAGGCTTCCACAAAAAAGTATAGCCCCACTGTCGCCTGCTGCCAGTCCTATTTGAAGCTGTTGTTGACGGCAAGCTAACTACTTCTGTGCTTGTTTTGCTATCTTAATTTTAACTTGGACCATTTCTTGGCGTATGCGTGCCATCCTTGCACAGGGGCCATGCTAATCTTGTCTGTATCGTTCCAATTTTAATGGATGTCCGGAAGGACGCCTAGGGGCAATTTTGACTCCGCCTTGTTCGTAGTTTAGGGGAGAATGCTCTTATAGCCCCCCCCTAGTGACGCTGCTCTAGCTTTAAAAAAAAATAAAAAATAAAAAGTTGCTTGTTGGATCATTTCTCGATTTATGTGTGCCATCCTTGCACAGAGGCCATGCTAATTTTCTCTTTGTTTTTTTTTTTTCCTTCTCTGTATCGTTCCAATTTTAATAATTGTCGGGAGGGCACCTTCATCGCTGCATAGCACAGCGAATGTGTTCGCGCCCCTCCACGTTCGCGCGAACAGCTCGCGAACGTGTTCGGGCGAACCTAAAGGCGAATGTGTTCTTTATTTTCTTTTTTTTTCGGTTTTTTATTTTTAACTCACGTTTGGCTAAGAATTTGAGCATGACTCTTAAGGCAAAAGTTGCTTGTTTTGCTGGCCCGTGATGCCTCGCTGTAATTGGGAAGTCGACTGTACATATGTAAGGGACGCCGGGCCTGTTTCCCGGATTATATAATCTTCTTTGTGGGCCTCGCCCCACCATTTGTAAAAAAAAAAAAAAAAAAAAAGAAGTTGCTTGTTTTGTTATCTTACATGACATATGTTTTTTTTTTCAGATTTTTTAACATTTTCTGAGACTTCTTTTTTTTTTTTTTTTTAATGTTCGCGTTCGGAGGGTTCGGGGCGCTAATTCACGTTCCGGCGAACATGTTCGGGTTTGCCTTCGGATGCTACGCAGCTTCATCGTTCCAATTTTAATAAATGTCCCAGAGGACCTTCTGTACCTGCCTTGGTTTCTCTTTATTAAAGTTTATTTGTATTGGTGATGTGGTGTTTGTATTTTTTGCAGAGGCTTTCTTCTTTCTGATTTTGTCTGCTTTTGGACAGGCACATGTTTGCCTTGGTCTGCCTGATCGTGTGTGTGTTTGATTGGTCCCTGTTGTATTCCAGGGAGGCTTTTTCCTGTGCACTACTGGGCTATCAGACGCGCACGGGCCCGGCCACCCGGCAGGGCAGCTGGGCCAGTGCGACGAGGACCCTCCTGCCCGGGTCACCCGGGCGAGTAAAAAAAACAGTAAAAACTTCCCCTCCCCCCGGCATTTTTCCGCCCTCCGAGAGGGACCCAAATCCGGTCTTATATATATTCTTTTGGTTCATGTCAGTTTTGGAGGGTCGAGGGGGTGGGGTAAAGGGCCTTAAAGGGGCTTGAGAGGGGTTGAAAGGCCTTTAAAGGGTGTGAGTCTGTGAGATGATTTTCCTTGCATTATTCTATTATTATTTCGAATTCTGTGAGGAATTTGAAGCGAAGTGACCCTCAGCCAAAAGTCGTTCGGTTTGCTATTCTGCGCAACATACGTTTTTTCTTTTTTTTTGGTGGGATATGGGCCGGGACCACGCCCGCCCAGGTGCCCGACCGGTCGTCCGGGGCAGGTCCCGTGCCAGCTTTGGGGACCGGGTGGCACGGCTGGTAGCCCAGGTGCACTAGACCTGGAGCCAATTTCTATTCTGTGTGCTGTCCAGGTGCCAAAAAAAAAGAAAAAAAAAGTGCACCATTTTATCTGTAACAGGTAGGCATCAAATCTGGTCTGGAACACTGCTGAGCCCGTGTGCTGTCTGGACCAGCTGTGATAGACCCAAACCAGAATGTACACAGCCTGGTCTCCATCCTGGCCCGTCGATCACTGGTAGATCTTTGATGGTCCACGATGAGAAAGGGAGGAGAGGCTGGCCGGTCCAGCGTGAAATGTGGGAGCTGGGCCAGGCACTTGGAAATCCAGCCATTCACTTCTAGACTTGGAATCACAAGGCTGGAGGAGTGCAGTGCAGGCCTTAGCAGTGATGCATAGAGAAGAGGCTGAGCGTTGGTGGCGTAGGGAAATTGGATATTTCAGAGGAGTAACCAGAACTCCCCTGATGGCACCATAGCTGGGGCTACAGTTGCTGGGCTGCAACTTAGATAGGTAGGTTGGTAGGTTGGTAGGTAGGTAGGTAGGCAGGTAGGCAGGTAGGCAGGGAGGGAGCCAGGGAGGGAGGGAAGCACACAGGCAGGCAAGCGGGCAGGCAGGCAGGCATGGAGAGAGAGAGAGAGAGAGAGAGAGAGAGAGAGAGAGAGAGAGAGAGAGAGAGAGAGAGAGAGAGGTGGCAAATGGGCGTGCAGATTGAGAATGTGAAGATGTGCATCCCCTGCATTTAAAGTTGTAAGATTGTGGTACTATGTCACAGAAAGCAGTTCCTGTTTTGCAGCAACTCTGGTGTAACAGGCGAAATGCACGGAAGAATGCACACATCTAATGGGTTTTTTCTTTTATAAGGCATAATCCGCTGTTTGTCTGTTGATGCAGGAGACCTGTGGTCAAGCTTGTTGCTGCTCTGGAACATTTGGCTGAGCCCGACATCAAGCAAATGCTGGTGAGGATTCTTCTGAATGAAGTTTGAGAGGAAGAAGAGGAAGGATGTTGGAAGCTCATTTATCTTTTCTGAAAGTTTTCTCATTTGTAGTAATATTGTAAATGCAAGATGTGCAAATGTTAAGTGAGCGACACGTTCTGGTCCTTGCTTTCTGAATCCATATGCACGTAATGACATGTGTGTGTGTGTGTGTGTGTGTGTGTGTGTGTGTGTGTGCATGTAAAAAAGAAGTCACGAATCATCCATGAAACAAAAGAAGTACAGATACGCATTGTAGTGGAAGATGCAAGGTTGGCTATGTTTGTGTGGTTAAGTGCCAAGTGCCCACACACCCGTCTGATGTCGAAGCGGCACACTTGCACAAGTATGTATTGTCACATATCTATGAAGTAGTATGAACTAAAAGAGCGCACTTTGCGAAACCAAGTTAACAAACGGTTAAAAAAAAAAAAAAAAGTTTAAAAAACAAGACCAACATGAAGGGCACACTGAAACCATTCATTTTTCTCATTCTTCTTTTAACTCCCCCTTCACTGGGCCTCTCATGTACAAGGCTACAACTCTATATGTTTTTTCAATCTATAAAAGAAGGATTGAGGGCAAAAGGCAACATACTTAACAAACGACAATCACACAGGAAAAAAACAAATTAGTTGCACCACAA